GCAATTTGAATTAAGGCACGATGCCATGCACCCCACTAGTTACAAAAATGTTTTAAAAGATAAAAATTTTGTTATAATTCTTCTCCCCCAGAACCCGGTTATATATTTCAGGAGGCACCCTGAATCATATTGGTAGAGTGGATCGGCACACCACAGTTAAAAGCTTGCCGACCCCTGATCTAGAAGACTAATAATTAAAGTATCTACCGTCAAAAAAATAATCATAAAGATCGTCGAAATTTTCTTTTTAAAAACTTTATTACAAGAAAACGGCCCGCCCGATCTCTCCCAAAAACTAATCAGCACGATTCCCACGCTAAAACGTAGACGAAATTTTTTTCACTTTTCTGCGATTTATAAAGAAACGGCTTGACCGATTGTCGCACAACCAATAGTCCTCATCAAGATACATCGTGTGGCTTTTAAATGTTTGAAATCGGTCCAGCCGTTTTCGAGAAAACGGCGATTTACGGCAAAAAATCTGTTCACATACACGCACACACACACACACACACATACTTTTACCAAATTTGGTCTCATTCGATTCAGAATGGCTTGAAACGTCGAGAAAACATAAAATTAGCAATTCGGATTTTTTTATGATAACATAAACTTCTCCTTCGGGAAGTTAAAAATGATATTAAAATAAATAACATCATATGAACATCATAATCACATGTGATCTAAATCACATGTGATATGAAATATATTCCTTGTCTAACAAAATGTTTGTATTTCATGCGGATTTTGATTTTTATTTTGGCGTTTTTCCCGATTCCGATTTTTATAATGTTTTTTTTTATTACATATTAAAAATGTGGAGTTTACGATCTATCTGGCGAATAAGATTGCTACTATGGATTTAGTTGCCATGATAAAAACTGCAAAGTAAATATTATGACAGAAATTGCGTTATATTATAGGTTATAAATCGTATCAATCGAAATTTAAGTAGAATACTGCTTAATCATAGTAAAATGGTTGTTTTAACCATGGATCCTGTCAAAAGAGCGCAAGTTCTTGATTTAATGAAAGAAAAAGAAAGAATCGAGGAAGAAATAAACCAATGTGGAACTGTTTTGCGAAATGTAATATCTGTCATTTTAATGAAAATATGTTTATTCTGTTAACTAATACTATTCAATATTACAGAATAGAATTAATATGACTGATCCTTTAGTGGACAACAATGACTGTCCCAGAAATGATATTGATGTTTACCAAGTTCGTCATGCTAGACATAGAATCATATGTAAGTGGTACTTTTGTAATTATTTAAATCCTAGTAGTCGAGGAAGCATAGTGTATGCTATAATATATACTCTGTTTCGACAGGTTTACAAAATGACTTGAAAAATATTATGAAGGCAATAGAAAATGGTTTACATGAAATCCACGAACCTTTACTTAGTGCTGGTGCATCTTCTTCTGATTCAGCAACCAGTCTCAATATTCAAAAGGGTGCAGATTTGATTAAAGAACTACACATACAGAAAAGTATGAAGAAAAAACCATTTGCAAAAATTACTGTTGTGTCTGTGGATTCTCCAGCTCAACAAGCTGTAAGTGGTTTCGTATGAATATACACAAAATACTCTTCTCATTTTAATCCAGTGATTTCTTAAATTTTTCTTCTATCTTTTCATTCCAGGGCCTTGTTGTTGGTGATGTTATTACAGAATTTGGTTCTCTTCATTTTGATAATTTCACATCACTTCATCAGATTGGACAGATTGTTAGTAATAGTGTTGGCAAAAATGTTGTAGTGGTTGTACTTCGACATGGGGCACCTATGAAACTAAATTTAGTACCTCAAAAATGGCACGGCCAAGGATTTCTTGGTTGTAATGTGATATCATTGGATGAAACAAAGCCTTAATTATTATTGAAACAATATGGCTGAAAATTTTCTTGTAATAATGTAATTGGATGAAGCAAATTCTTGATTTTTGTTAATATTTGTATGTCATCTGTTTTCAAACAAAATTATTCAGAATAAATGAAGAGACCTGCTACTTAAATATGTAAATGTGTATTTTACATGTACAAATATTAAAAATAATATAAAATATGTTCATAAATCAATAAACATAAAATTCCATAAAACTAAACTTGGAAAAGAGATATTTGGAATCACAAATGAAGTCAATCATCATTAAAATATCTTACGTCAGTTTATCAAATTTTCTTTTTGCAACTTTTTTCTGCTCTTTCAGTTTCAATCTATACAAATGCCTTACAGCTTTTACATCTTGTGCAGTAAGTGTATATTCTATTAGAGATTTTGATTTAGTTGGATCTTGAGCAAAATTATAACTTGGAATTTCCAAATTTAAACTATCCATTAATTTTTTGAAGATATCATCTACATAAGCATGTATAAGCAAATCAGCATGTTTATCCTGGAATTATTGCATTTTTAAAATGAAGAAAAGCAATGTATGTAAGTTCACAATTGGAAACAAATAACCTTTTTGGTGGGTTGCAGGTTGCAGATAACCAATTTTCCTCCTCGTTTTTTGTTGTTCATTGGTAAATTACCGCTAGGAATAATTTGTAATGTTGTTCCCAAGCAAATGTTTAAATCTGCTATGCTATCATTATAATAATAGTTATACATCAATGCTAATTTTGTTTATAACACTTTCATTCACTTTATAATTATCTTTAAAATTATTAAGGCAGTGAAATTTGAGTACTTTTATTCTTTGGAAATATTAACTTTATTCCAAGAAAAACACATTTATTGAAAACACGTATATAACCTTTAGAGTTTCGTTACATTAAATAATTGCTTACCTTGAATACATACTAGAAATATCCAAATCCTTCTCAGGTAAATCATGCTCCCAATCTAAAATAGTATCAAACATGTGTCCACGACAAGGTTTACTAATATGAGAAGATTTACATGAATATCCAAGATACTTCTTGCCAACACTGGATGTAGCAGTATTTCTTATAAATTGCCTACAAAAATACTTTTTGAAAATTTGAAAATATAAGATATTTTTTATTAAAATTTGTACCTGTGGCATTTGTTACATTGCTCTATGTACATATTTCCATGCAATTCGCCTAGTTTGTTTCGTGGCACCCCAGATTTTATATGTAAACCATCAATATTTTGACTCACAATGAAGGTGACTTTATCCTCATCAACTAATTTTTTTAAAGCCATATGTGTAATGGTTGGTTCAGTATCATCAAAGCTCTTATTGAATGAAGGTTTTTTTCCTAGTTTTTCTAAAGTCCAGACTCCATTTGGTCCCCTAATATAAATTAATAGATAAAAATGAAAAGATTTGTTTATTGAAAATCTTTTTATTTGATAATTAATATATTAGGTAACATTATGGTGAAGTTGCTCTATCAAAAATAAGTACAAGAATTCTAATGTTTCATTTCTCATAATAATAATGCAATTACATTGCAAATGCTTTTTGAAAATCTGAATTAACAAACCGTATTTCCAATACACATAATTTTGCTAAATCAATTTTGGAATATTCCTAATTTCTCTTATCCCTACTGCTTAATATTATCATTTTAATCATTTTCAGAAAGTTAAGTAAATTCTTTTTTTAGTAAAATAAAGTTATCTTCCATATCAAAAAGCCACGCTTTTAAAGTGACATACAAAGAAGACTTTCAGGATTGAAAAGAAATTAGACTACAGTCAAAATATTATTTTTGATGCCGACATACAGCCTCAACACTCATGTAAAATGTAACTAAATTACTTTTAATCATAGTTACCTAAAATCAGGAACACCAGCAGCTGTGCTTATTCCTGCACCAGTATGTACCACAACACATTTTGCTTGAGAGATCCATGAAACCAACGTATCAACTTTTTTATTTAAGTCTTCAGTATTATCAAATATCTGTAATGCAAAATATACAATGTAAATCCAAGTGATTTTTTAATTACATTTTTTAAAGTATACCTCTGGTAAGCCTAGTACACCTTTGTCATCATAATCTGATAGACCCTCAGCGTAGTTGCATGACATTTTTAAATATATTTAATGTTTATAAAGGTTGACTTCATGCAAAATTTATAAAATTCACCATACTCTTCTTTTATGTATGTTCACCATATAAAATATGGATATAAAATATGGATATAAAATATATATATATCATATTTGTCATCACATTTTGAAAAACCTAAAATAAATATTTACAATTGAAAAAATGTTAAATAAATACACAACAATATACAGGGAGCACATTTTGGATTTGGTTGACAACACCAGATATATATTTATATAAACAATTTTTCTGAATGTAAGAAAATAATGATTGGTATAAATAATTTACATCGCAATGTCCCAGCAATCTTTTCTTGTGTTTACATTTTTCTGAGATTAATCGTATTTATACCTGCTCCATTTTAATGTTTTTATTTGACACTTTGTTTTGTATACAAACGTATACCAACTTCAGACCATTAAACCCCAAAGAAAGGAAAAGAAATAAATGTTATGTGGTACTGCTTACTTGTAACTTATAATCTTAGCTTCATCAGGTTTTTATTAAAATTGATATAGTTAAATTAAAAGCGAGGGCTTAAAAAAAGATTAAGATTTCTCTGAGAACGATGTCAGACCGAAAAGCTTCACATGCCGGCAGCTGGTACTCTAGTTCAGGTATGTTGTTTATAAAATAGAAATAAATCAGCTGCTAAGTTTTAATGGTGGTGAAGTTTAGTTTTGGACTGAACTTTTTGTGTGAACATATAATATAAATTTCAAAATAATTCTTATTTTATGTCTGCCTATTAATAAAGTTGTGGAGTAAATGAGAAGAAATTATGAATGTAAATAAATTGTGAAATAAGTATGAATATGCCCATTTCTGTAAAGTGTTGCCAGATTGGGAAAAATGTTATCCAGTCAACAAGGATATTTTTGACGTTTCAACGTTCAAAAACCCGCACACTTTTTTAACGCCTTTTATTTGTAGTATCAGATTATTTTTAACAGTCTATATATTTTTTGTTTGGATTCAATCAGTTTTGTTACTTTTATATTTAAAAAATCAACATGTCCCAAAGTAAAGTAAAAACCATAGTTCCCAAAAAAGTGATAAGCACAAAAAGCAAAATATCAAAAGATTCGTTCTCAAAAATTAATACCAGTGCCAGTAATTCAAGAACACCAGTAAACAAGAAAAAACGAGGTAAATATTGGGATAATGTGTGTCTTTCAACTGCTGGACTGCTTCATCAAAAATCAGAATATTAATAAATTTATACATAATGAATTTTAACTGAATCATGTCATGATGTACAGTCCAACAGTAATATGGCACAATAATCAATACACGAAGATCTTAAATTAACTCCTTAATTTTAATTATAGAAGCCTCAACACCCACAGATGACAAAAATGCATTTACATCATCATTTGGTGATATATCAAATATTTCACTAATGAACTCAAATAAATCAGGCAATGAAGACGAATTTGTATATAGTAGGTATCTGGGTTCCATGCTTCTTGATACAGTTATTGAGCGAAATATAGCAGATAAAACAATATGTATCGAAAATGAAATACAAATAATGAATCAGCGACTTGACCAAAGTAGAAAACTTTTGGATGAAACAAACCAAGATATTAAAGAAATTAATTTTCTGTGTAAACAGTCTTCACTGTTGAAACGAGAGGAAAAAATATTACAACAAGCATTAGATAATGAACATGGAATAAATCAAAGCACAAACTTAGAAGAACTTAGGACTACATTACAATTTTCAGCCAATTCTTTACCAACAAGGAAAGTAATATTAGATGATGATATTTCCCAGATATCTCTGGAAAGTATAAACAAATTGAACGCGGCTCTTACAAAATTAAATGTAGGATTGAAAGGTTTGAGTAAAACTCACAAATCAACATTAGAAGAGATAGATAATTTAACAACATGTGTTACTACATCTGATAATGTACTAGAAGAACTACAAAAATTGGGCAAAAGTAATGGAAATAGTCTAAATAAATTGAACAAAACTGTTATTACTGGACAATCTATTGAATTAGATATCGCAAATTTGTGAATAAACATTGTAAAATGTTATGTAATTACTACTAATAAACATTTATTACATATTATGTTGTTTTTGATCATTTATTTATATATACATACCATACATATATGTGAAGATGTCAATTGATCATACATTTTAATTGTTCGATCAACATTTACCTAGAACTGCGTAATTCCAATATAATATCAATAAACCTGATTTTTAAATGCAAGTACTAGGTTTTCTTCAATGAAAGATTGTGCTACTTCAGGTTTATAGAAATCTTCATTGTATGATGTTTTTGATACAAATCGTATCTGCTTGCACATTCTGAAATTTAATGAAAAATTATAAATATCTTGATACCTTCAATAGGATTATATATAGACATATATATATATATATATATATATATATATATATATATTTTGAAAATAGGAACAAACAGCACTTTTGCAAAGCAAATTGTTGAAATAAAAAACAATAAATAATTAATTTTCAATCAATAATGTAATTAAAGTCATATTTCAAATATGAAATGATAGGTTTGTCATTGTAATAGCATTTAGGACTTGGACTTTCCATTAGAGAAATGAAGTAATTGCTGATTAATAAATTCTATAATATTCGTTCACACAGTGGATTATGTAAAACAACGCCTAAAGAAATATTGTTTTCACAATTTCACTAATCATGTAATAATTGTATTTGAAGAACTTCACGTAATTAAAATTAACATACATTCATTGACTGATTGTATTTTTTTACTTTTTCACTGTCGATATAATCTCATTCTTTCAGCAGCTATAAAATCTGTCTTGCCTAAAATATTTCCCATTTTAATAACTTCAAAGATTTATAAAAGCTATGAATAATATAGAAATTATTTCAATAAACTTACGTTTAGTACACAGCACAAATGTTTTATTTATTTTATTATTTTCATTATAATTATTTACGGGAAACAGGGTAAAATATTCTTCTGATTCAGGCATTTCTTATTAAATCAAGATTTGTACTACCATGTAACCTTAAAATGTTTATTCATCTATGCTGATTTCCTTGTCGATATCGGTACGCATACAACGACAGATCAGATTCACGCGACACGACGACTAATCACAATCGACCCTTATAGAAATGATTTCATCAAAAACGAACGCAATTTTCGTTGCCTTCTCACAATTTTACACTCTAGTCGCGTCTAAAGAAGTTTTACTTCAAAAAGTATGAATTCAGTTGTAGCAATTTTCACTCTTTTTTAATTTGTTCATTCTAAACTGGCTTTGTTGGATTAAAGCATATAGGCATTTAATTTTACTTAACTAATTTAATACAGAAGTTTTGCATATTAATATAATATAGGTTTCAGAATATTGCAACAGCTTTGAATCATTTTTATAAATCCATATATCCATTAACAAGTATCTATCTCTAAAACAGGTCCTGAGCTGAGTAGGCAACTTGATAACTGGTTGGGACAAGCTGAATTAAGTCATGGACCAGCAAGAGCAATCATTGCACCGTAAGTTCACATACAAATCATAACTTGAGAATATACAAATTCTAAGAAAATGTTTGAATTTTCAGACATGCAGGCTATACGTATTGTGGTGCATGTGCTGCATTTGCATATCGGCAAGTGAGCCCAGCAGTGGTGTGAGTAGAAATTTTTATATTGCTCTTATATATATATATATATATATATATATATATATATATATATATATATTTGAATTGAGTCTTATTTTTTATTTTATCAGCAAACGTGTGTTCATTTTGGGTCCATCACATCATGTTCGAATTAATGGATGTGCTCTATCATCAGCTCGAAAATATAAAACTCCTTTGTATGATCTATTAATCGACACAGGAAGTAAGTTATAATTATATAACCTTGAAGTATTGAGTATGATTTATATATATATATATATATATATATATATATATTTATACATACATATATTTGTATGTTGCATGGTTATATGACTTATATTTTTATATTACTTTTAGTATATAAGGAGTTAGAAGCAACTGGAGAATTTGAATGGATGGACATGCAAACAGATGAAGATGAACACAGTATAGAAATGCATTTGCCTTATATAGCAAAAGTTATGTCAGAGTAAGTCATTATCAAATATGAATACCTTACCTTTATTTTTATGTAATAATTTCCATTTCCAGTTACAAAGATCAGTATACTGTAATCCCAATATTGGTCGGATCTATTCCACCTGAAAGAGAAGCAGTGTATGGAGAATTATTAGCAAAATATTTAGCTGATCCACAAAATTTATTTGTAATTTCAAGTGACTTCTGTCATTGGGGTCAAAGATTTCGATATACTTATTATGACAAATCATTTACAAAAATTTATCAATCTATTGAAAATCTTGATAAACTTGTAAGTAGTATTTTATACTAGTTGGCTAAAATTATTCACACTTATAACTCAATTATTTCTTAGGGAATGGATATTATTGAAAACCTGGATCCTGAATCTTTCTATTCTTACTTAAAGAAATATGGAAATACTATTTGTGGTAGACATCCAATAGGTGTTCTTTTGCAGGTAAATATTATCCACTTTGCTATATATAAGATAAAAATTTTATGCCATGATCATCTTTGTAACTTTGTTTATTTTTTTGCATTAAAGGCTGTAGCAAGTTTACAAAGATCGGGTTACAAGATGTCTTTGAAATTTTTACAATATGCCCAAAGTTCACAATGTGTAACTATGGCCGATTCAAGTGTAAGCTATGCATCTGGAGCTTTACTTATGGAATAAGAGAAGTGTTTTTAACATTATGAAATAAGATATAAGTGCTTATCGTCATTAACAAGTAACTGTTATGATATTGAATATAGATTTTAGTTTGTGTTAAGTATAAGATTTATAAAGATAAAACATTTTTTCATAAACTACATTCAGTGTAACTTCCAATATACGTTTAATAAATTTTCAAATTGGTATTGACAAAACCATTTTTCTTATTAGCATTTAACATTTAGAGTTATTTTCTTATTTACCCGAAATTCCAGCTTCCGTAACTTCATAAGAAATTGAATTTGGTGGTAAATGTGGTGCAGATGCAACTCTAAAAATTCTGGAAGATTTCTGCCCTTCATTAGGAAATTGTTTGTTCCCAAAATCATAATGCAGTTGAATTTTTGTTGTGACTAAGTTAGCCCAAGAAAGTCCTAAACATGGTACTAAGGAGTTATTGTAGATATTAGAACTAACCTGTGCAAAATACAAATAAATAGTAATCTCAATTCTGTGAGTTATAATTTAATATATTTACCTGATTCACACATATTATTGCAGATTCATAAGATTTAGCCAGCTTATGCAGAGTTAATGCAATTGACCGCATCATATTTGATCTCTTTGGTGACACACATTCAATTCGAAAAACTGCTGCAATTGAATCAATTACAACTAAGCCTATTTTTTTATTTGCCATTAAACGTGGTACATCATTGCAAATAATTTTTACCAGACTTTCCTATAAAAAAACAATGTTTTGTAAAAGGTTGGTTCTAATGTTTATCTCATTTAATTTATGGAAAGATATATAATTATTTTTTTACATTTACAAATTGCTCTTCTCAAATTCATTATAAATATTTATAATAGTCAAATGTAATTAGGTAACACATGATTGTGAGAATAATTCAATTTTTTTGTATGATGGTTTAAAAAATGATTCTCTTACTGCATCAGAAGCATGTTCTATATAGATATTATCAGCAAATTGTGTTGTGAAACTTGTTTTCAACCTATATCGTTTGGCAAAAGCAACTGGGAATGTTTGAAACAATTGCTGAAGTCTCTTGCTAGGAAAGACATCTTCTGTACAAATATAAACTGCACCTATTTGGTTTATAATATTAAAGACTTGGTTTATAATATATAATCGAGATATAATTTATATAAACCTGCATTTAGACCACCAATTTCTTCCGGGTACTGAACCATTATACATAACTGTAAGCATATTTGTGTCTTTCCAGTTCCACTTTCACCTGAAATTTCTGTAATTCCTCTGCAAGTTAATCCACCATCCAAAATTCTATCAATTAAAGGACATCCAATTTTAATTTTTTTGATATGATGACATGTATTCATATATAGTTCTAATCCTATGAAATGTATGAGGGACAACATTAATTGAACAATCAAAAATTATAGGATAAGAATTCTGTTTTCACCTGTAGAAAACTGCATTTTATGCAATATAATTTCTGCAGCAGATTTTTTCAAAAACTTTAAATCATCTGAAGAAAATGAGGCCATATCTTGTAACTCTATATCAGACTTTAATATTAATTCCTGTGCAGTTTCTACTCCAACTAGAAAATATAAAATATAAAATAGTTTTAAAGAAGGATTCAAGTTATATATATATATATAGAAATTACCTTTTTGTAACAATTCATTAAGCCGATTTGGCAGCTTTGATTTGAGGTCAATGCCTTCTTCCATTGCCTGAAAAATTAAATATCATTAGTAATATATAATCAATAAATATATTACATAAATAATAGTAATAATGATAATAAATATAATATAATATAATATTTATGTTCAAATATAATATATTCCGAGAAGTGAAATTACATATCTATAAGATGTAATATTCATTATATATCTTCAAGTCGCTAAAACCAGATATAATTTAGTTACAAGTTTTAATTGATATTCAAAGAAAAATAAAAGTGTGAATATATTCTAAGCTATATTTAAAAAATAGATAAAGGTTTACAAAATAAAATAGTTTGATTCTTTGTAAGTCATTTTCTTTTGCTTATTTAATAAGAAAATAAATTAAATATTAACACAATATAACAAAATAATCTACTTGATTCTTATTATTTATTTTTAAAATTAAAAGTTATTCTTTCCTAATGATAATATTTTATGTTAAACAAGTTCAATTCAAGTTTGATAAAGGTAAATAAAAATAAGACATCTCAGGTCACATACAGCTAAAAATAAAATCAAATTATATGATTTGGATCTGTTTCAATTCTGTTAACGCCCTTGGTTCATGCAAAAACACAACTGGCTCAAAAGATTGTTGTTTAGCAGCTTCAATAAATCCTTGATTGGCAGTCACAGTAATGGCCTTTAAGAAATGTCCAAACAAAAATATTATTTTTGATCTTGGCTTTATCCTTCCACATATTTTAATACTTTGAAAAAAATCATCATCTCGATTGGCATCATCTGGTAAAGTTGTAACTCTATTTAATAAGTTTGCAGCTCTAGTCTTTTCTTCAGGACCCCCAATTGTTTGTATAATGGTTTCGAATGCTATTTTAGCAGTTTCACAACAAATAAGATTTTTCCCGTTAAATAAAGGGTTTAAAATAGTATTTACTGGTCGCTCCCTTTCCCATCTAGCTTGTTCTGCTAAAAGTGGTTCTTTTAATTCAATATTACAATGTCCATTAGTAAGATTACTAACATATGCTATCATAGCAGTTATATCTAAATTTAATGTATTAATATTGTTGTAATGTTTTAAGAACAATTCACTGGGTATTAGTGATTTATTTTCATCCAAAGAATTGACTACAAATACACCTTTTGCTTCCAATTCTAATTTTAGAAAATCATCAACGCCATTGGCAAAAATAAACTTGATCTGAGGTTCTTTGTAATATATAGGTTTTAATTTTGCCGCAGATAAATAATCATTGCTATGATCTATAACACTTCGAACTTTAGTTGTAGTTTGTCCTAAAGCAGCCTCACTTAATGACTTTTTGTTGCGTGCAATAACTTTAATCCAGGAGCCTCCATTATCACTTATTACATCAATATAAATTTTTCTGTTATCAATGGTGACTGGATAAAATACATGAATAATATTGTGTTCTTGTAATAAGCATTGAACAATAGCTTTTAAATAATTTAAGTTAGTACAGCACACATAGTCTGGTTGAAGATCATTATTCTTTAATACTTTTTCAAGAAACTTTATTTCTTTCTTTATTTTAGTTACTAATTTTGCTACTCCATCAACACTATCAAAAGATTTCAATATTTCTAATAGACTTTTACCAATTTCTATATGGTCATTGATTAATACTTGTAAATCACAGTCATCCATGACCTATATAAAAATAATATAATATGAATCGATTTTTTATAGAATATTTTGTATATTCATAAAATTGTGCTTATTATATATCTTATATTATTCTTTGCTTAATTAAAATGCTGCTAAAATTAATATAATTGAAGTAATAAGTGATAATATGACTATTTCCACCAATAAATAACTATATCAGTGTTTTGATATTTTAAATAAATTTTATAGTAGTCATTATATTATATGCATGCTGCTATTATAAATATACATATGTATTCAACTGTTTTACTATAATGTTTAAAAACAATCAATGAAAAAAAATATACATAAATATGCTTACAATTGTCCAATTTATAATCCTTGCTTTCTTTTATAATTTCTTAAATCTATTTCATAAACAAATCAATATATCGATTCAATAGCTGGTACATTCTGCTAAATAGTTATAAGGTATCGAAGAATGTAATATAAATAGCAAATCCTGAAAACAGAAAAATGACTTATAACAAACTCTATTTTTCTCATTAAATAGTTAACAATTAAAATATGTAACCATACATGTAATTCATAATCTTAACAGCAAGCACAAAAATACTTTTCCAAATAGTTTTTATAACAACATACTTTTTTAGTTTTGGGAACTTATTTTAAATGATTATATTGGAAATTGTACATATTACAGAATTAGTGAGAAATAACCAAAATGAGAAGTCAGTAATGCTTATTATATAGTTTTTTTTACAAAATACAAGCTATTCTTGGCAAATTGAAATTAGAATAGATTTGTAAGACAATGTTCATAGACTTATTGAAACATTTTTATAAATATATGAAAAGATAACACTTACAATTTGTTTTTCTCAAATTGATTATAAATATTTATAATTTTCAAATGTAATTTAAACACATGATTGTGCAAACTAATTTTTTGGAATGTTTATTTAAAGAATTATAAAATTGAATTATAAATTTCATAAGAAAAGACAGTCTTTTCTGTGGAATCATAAAAAAAAAAAATCAATTGCAATGACACTGGAATCAATCCGCAATGCCTTTTGGAAATTGCTTTAAGCTTTAATATACTGCAGAAAATTAATTTAGATATAATTGTAAATGTATACTCTTCTTTTCATAGACTTTTCATTAAAACATTTTTATAAATACGTGAAAAGAGATTAATTTAAATAAACCAATATATCAATTTAAAAAGTATGTCAATTAAAATAACAATTTTTAGTTGGTTTACTCTGAATCAATAAAAAAGTTTTATCTCTCTGCACTACACAAATAAATCTTGTAAAGATTTGTAGTTACTATGTAAAATCTGTTCAAATATGTCAATAAATTTTGTAAAAATTTGTAGTTACTATATAGAATCTTGTAAAAACTATATAATAAATCTTGTAGAAATTTGCAATGTTTGTTACTGCATAAAATCTTGTGAAAACTTGTAGTTACTTTATAATAAACAATCATACAGTTTGTTAAATTAAATTTACTTTATATTCATTTATCAAAATGCATAATAATCATCTATAAATAAACTTAAACATAAAACATTACTAAACAATTAAATTTATTATTGGAACTTACAAATTTGCTGGTTATGTTTTGCGCACATGAACAACTACCACGAACTGTCAGGAGGTCAAATACCATATATTATATTTTTAGTCTAGGTCACACACTATTACGCAAATTCTTCGACAGCAGCGCTCTTGTATTCAAGGTGACGGATACATAAACTACAGAATTTTATTTTAAATTTCTAGACCAGAATTTAATAAATTCGAATTTGATCAATGTATTTACTAAGTAAAATACTTTCAAAAATATCATTTAATGCAGCCAATTCAATGTGCTATTTCAAATGCCTTTTAAATTAAATACTGAACAAGAATACCTTCTGAAACACTGAGATCATAGATAAATAAGCATAATGCTAAGATAATGCCATAAGATTTAATATACTAAGAAAAACTATCATCTTCTAAAAAAAATTAAACACTATTTCCAAATTAATAATTTTTTTTATTTAAGTTTCATTTCAACATATCATTTTAAAAACTCAATAAACTTAGGAAGTTTTATTTCTGAATGTTGGTATCCCGTATTTTTTTTTAAGTTATTTTCGAATCTAGCTGCAGAAACTTTACTTCTTTCTTTACTTTACTTCTTTACTTTCGCTTTTCAACACCCCGGTACTTAAATTATTTTACAATATTTCAAGTATAAACGGGTTCTTAAACACAAAGGAATATGGAACTTAAAACAGACATTGATACTACCGAACAAAACCAGATGAGATCAATCCTACTAGCGTTTGAATGCTTCAACAACTTCAAAACCCTATCGCGTGTACATCTAGGAGAAACCCCAATCCATGCAATCCTTAAAAGGAAAATAGAAAAGATCTTATATTTAGCCAGAACACTAGAAAGTGAAGTTATGCATAAAGATGGGAAATACAAAGACTTTGCAAATATGGTCAGGTCTTCTTTAGAAAACATGGAAGAAGAAATTGAATCTAGCATTCAAAGAACATTGCGCATTTCCTCCGCACAAAAAAAATTGAAAGCAGATATACGAGCTTCCATTGACTTGATAGATGAAGCTTATGGGGACACAGAAAGCTTATCATCATTATCTGGTGCTTCAGAACAAAAGAATTCTGATGAAGAGGATTTCTAGTTGAACCATTTAATGAAAAGTTATATTATGGTTGGAAATTACCATAAAAACTAAGAAAAACAGTTATTTTCTACAAAAATGAAAGTATATTTCACATATGAATAAATTAATGTATTTACATTTACTTGTATTCTAACATTTTATGTTAAAAACTCCATAAACCTAACATTCAAAAATGTTGTATAATACTTCTATTTTTTTTTTTGTTGATTTCCTTGTTGACTTATGAATTTTTGCAAACATTGAACTGTAGCACTGTAATTGTATCACACATTTAAATATTATAAAAATCGAGTCAATAAAAATTTAAAAACATTAAGTTCTGTATTGTTATTCAATTATGTAACATGTCTCAGAATGATACCATTGTTACAACACTACTTATTTATAATTATGACTTACATAAACCATACTAAATTTATATAAATTTTAATATTACACTTTTTGTAAGTTTTTATGTTATTTTGTACTTTTTTGTTTTTATACATTATATACTTTTTAATAATACAAGTGTACTAAAGTAAAAGCCTGTGCTTTTCAATGGCACATGGCAGTTACTTATATGAACAAGTATAATTTTCATTTAATAAATATCAATATCTGGAAATCACCAAAACTATTATCTCAACAAACATTAATGTGCACTCTCGGCCCAAGGAAAATAGACCAAGTAAAAGAAACTTAGTTTTAAATGAGATCATAGAATTTGCTTGATGTTATATTAAGATGGTATTCAGATAAAGATATTTATGTTTTTATAACTAAAATTAATTGATTTAATTAACTCTTCAAACATACATTAAAACTTCTAAGACAGATAGTAAACATCGTCAAATAAGAATTACTCCTTTTTATAAAAAAATAAACACATACTCACTTATAAAATAAGAGTTAAATTTTTAAAAAAACATCAGCACTTTTAATCACTATCTGTGCTGAATAAAGATCACAAAAAGATATGCCCATTAATCACTATAGTAAATTATTCTTTAAACAAAATATTTAAAAAATATTTCGAGAGATTTGGTATTTACCAACAACTTAAATTATACTAGATATTTTTAAATTTCAGTGATTATTCTCCTTTGGTCAGATAGATTTTGTGAATATGATTATGTAATATAAATATCTATTTTGCAAAAAAATTCTATTAACATTGCTCACAAACAGGAACAAGAGGACTGGTGGGCCAATCTTCAGTATCTTCACTGTCCACAGAACTCACACTGCCAGTTCTGAAATAAAAAATAGTTATAAAATTTTATAATGATTAAAAAAGTCACTAAATATTCAACATTGGTAACAAGAAAGTATTTTATTTGATTTAAAAAGTTTATAAATAATTGTACTATTACTTTTAACTTCTCAATTAAATAAATTTAATTTAATGGACTAAAATGGATCTATCATATTCGTTCAGAAAAGAAAAAGTCAATAAAATTGAATAAACAATCACCTTGGTAGAATTTTATCATAGTAATTTTGAAGAATTCACAGAAAATAATTTTACTATTATTATCAACTTTCCAATTCCAAAATGTTATTTAAATGAAATAAAATTTATCAAATATGTTTAAAACAAAAAGTGCATTAAATTAAATAAACAATTACCTAAGCCTTGGTAGACATCCATTTTCATCAATAGTGGGCAGAAGTGATGTAAGACGATCTGTTGGTCGAAGAAGTTTCAATGTGCGCGAAGATAATTTCCAAACAAGTCTTTGCCTGTGTGGACTTTTATCTTGATTGTTATACCTCGACAGTATGTTGACAACACAACCGTGACAACTGAAGAAGCTGGAGTCAGGAATCTACAAGTGAAAAAAACAAAATTAAAATCAATCAATAACATAAATGTAGCAATATGAAAAATTAAATATGGAACTTTTTTATTTCTTACCCTGCACTGTTCTGCATATGAATAGCAAAATCAACCAATTTAAGCATCGTTTGAGCAGTATGAGATTCCAATTGAGACACACAGCTATCAAGTTGGGTGCATAATAAAACAAGAGCCAGCTCACATGGTCTTACATTTGCACAAGTTGAATCACAAGCTACTATTTCTAGGCGCATTATCAAATCTTCCTCCTGAGAATTAAAACATTAATTAAACATATGTAAAATCCTATTGTATACAATAGTATATAATTGTAATTACTTACAGTAACAACTTTTTGGAAAGGCTCTAGTACCCCCAATTCCAGAGCCCTTTGCTTAAACATGGCATGTAATGGACGCAAGAAGGTCAAAGCTGTAATTGGTGGACAACCAGGTTGGGCACCTAGTTTGTCGGCAACAATTGTAGCCATACGAGTCAAATCACCAGCAGTGCATCTGCATTGTGAAATAAGTACTAAATCTTCAGGATCCATTGCAGGTAATGACAGTTGTTGATTGGCTAGATATAATGACCTACACTGATGCAGGCCATGTGCTTGGGTTTCACCTGTAACATAAATTGCTTGTTAATAGAATAAAAATAAATCATCCTCATTTGCATCATCTGATCTAAAACTGCATTTGTTTTAGTTTATATACATTTTAATCTTGTTTATCTATGGTTATATATATATTTT